AATATTCTGAGAAGTGAAGAAAGGTGGATTGCAGACCAGAAGTCTGAAAATTTGGAAGACCAAAGAAGAAAAAAGTCGAAGACCCTTAACAGATTGTTGAACAATGAAATCCTGAAATAATACCAGAAAATAGAGAATCAATGACTGAGTTTTTTTAAATGTCTCTAAATAGAGAACTTTGTGTCTACTTGTCTACCAATTTTTATCAAATTTCTTCTCTCTATTTCTCAATTTTTCCAGTTCAATTTTTGTCTATTCCCGGCTCTTGAAAATTGAAATTGTCAGAATAAAGAAAATTTTAGAGCCTGAAAATCCTGGAATAGAGAACACATTGTCATTATTTTTCTCTTTATTTCTCAAGTTTTGTCTATTCTCATCTCTTGAGTTTTCGGTTTCTTCTGAATTAAGGTAAATAGAGAAAACTCTTAAAAAGAGCTTGGACTGGAAATAAAATACTTTATATCTACTTGTCTACCAATATCTTCTCATTTCTCTCGACTTTTTTCTCATTATTTTTCAATTTTTCGAGTTCAATTTTTATCTATTCTCAGCTCTAAAAAAATAAAAAAAAATTGAAATCCTGGAATAGAAAAAATATCAATTTTCATTAATCTACCAATTTTTTCTTAATTTTTCTTGTAATTTCCCTTTTTATGTTTCAATTTTTGTCTAGAACTTGGAACAGAGTAATTTTCTGAGAGGTTAAAACACAATAAGGGCTCTGAAGATTTAGACAAATGCACCAAATATAAAAAGACCTAAAGGCGATAAAACACCAAAGACAGAAACCTTCTCAGGAACTAGAAGATCAAAGAAAGAAGACTGAGAATCTTCAAAACAAAGTTCAAAGATCAATGAAAGAAAAAAATTAAGAATTTGGAATATTTCAAAAACCTCTCACAAAAGTTGCAGGATCAAGGACAGTAATATACTGAGAGGTTAAAAGAACACCAGAGTGTTACACTGAGAATCTCCAATAACAACGACAAAAAGAGCCTCATTTTAGGTTAAGTATAAAGTTCAAAGAAAAAGAGAATCTGGGAATTAAAAAGGCAAAACTTTGAAAAGCTTTTAAAAAAATTGGAAGATCATGAACAGAAAGACCATGGGAATATCTCAGGGATATTGGACAGAAATAATATTATAAAGAAACTTAAACATCTTAGTATGTTCTTGGAAAACCAAAGACCATTTAAAGTTTTCTATAAAAGTTTGGGTTAGTTTCTTATAATTCTTCTCTTTATTTCTCAATATTTTTATTTCAATTTTTGTCTCTTCCTATCTCTTGAGTTTTTGTTTTCTCTTCTCAATTCATCTCGATTTTCTCCTCCCTATTTCTCAATTTTTCCAGTTCAATGTTAATCTATTCCCGGCTCTTGAATTTGTCGCATAAACAAAATGTATGAGCCTGGAATAAAAAAAAACATTAATTTCCATTTATCCACCAATTTTTTCTTATATTTCTTCTCTTCATTTCTCAATGTTTCTATCTCAATTTTTGTCTTTTCCTATCTCTTGGTTTTCCGTTTTCTTGTAAATTTCTGTAAGAAGAGGAAATTGAAGAGTTTATACTAGGAATTAAATATTTTGTGTATATTGTCTACCATTTCTTCGTCAATTTCTCTCGAACTCCTTCTCTCTATTTCTCAATCCATAAACGACAATCCGACAACGCCAGTACTGAGCTGTGACGTAAACCAATCAAAAACGTTTCTGAAAATTTAAAATGTTTATGATTTTCAATTTTAAATTTCTGAGAAAATAATTATACCTATTTATAGAGCTCCATATTTAGCAAAGGCTTTTTAGATACTTACCTAGAAATATGCAGGAGATTCTTGAATAAAAATTTTATGCAAGTAGTAGCTACTTACCCTAATCGACTAAATTCTGAAAATTTGTACGCCTAGAGTGAGAAAACTGCGAACAGCCTTCAACGCGGGAAAAACACAAGAATGTTAAAAATTGAACACAATAATAGTCTGGAAGATTGAAACACATAAGAGCTCTGAGGATTTGAATAAATTATACCAAATATAAAAAGACCTGAAGGCGGTAAAACATCAAAAACAGAAACATTTCCCAAAACTAGAAGATGAAAGCAGGAAGATTGTGAGAATCTTCAAAACAAACTTCAAAGATCAGTGAAATTTAAGAATTTGGAAGACAAGATTTCAAAAATCTCTCACAAAAGTTGGAAGATCAAGGACAGTATAATGTACTGAGATTTTGAAAGATCCAAGAGGTAAGAACTCTGAGAATTGGGATTGTAGAATCAAATATAAGAAGTCCTCAAAAAACCTTTTACAGTCGTTGAAACATCAAAAACAGGAATATTCTGAGAAACTAAAAGAACATCAGAGTGTAAAACTGAGAATCTCCAAGAACAACGACAAAAATAGCCTCAATCTTTTGTAACAGAAGTTGAAAGATCAAACAGAATCTGGGAATTAAAAAGGCAAGACTTCAAAGAACTTTTGCAAAAATTGAGATCATGAACAAAAACACCATGGGAATCACTTAGAGACCTTGGACCTTAAAGACATTATACAAAATATGAAAGATTCAAGACGGAAAAAATCCAAATGAGCTGAAATTTTCAGGGATTGTGATCCCCTACTGGGATAAGAATCGCTGGAAATTTCAGCTTCCTATCTTTAATAGAGAAAAAGTTATAACCTTTCAAAGTTTTCTAAAATCTAAATCATAAGGTAGCTAGCTACCTCAGCAATGACATGATAAAATTTGATTTTTTTTTTGTTGAGATGTTGTGTTCTAATGGTCCTTTGGGATCCCCCAAACATCATACACAAAATTATTTCGAGACATGAAGCCAAAATCTATGAAAAAAGGCACTCGGAAGAATTGAAAAATTGATAAATCACCCCAAATTGCTTAACACAATTTTATTTCTGAAACTATAGGTCCAAATGGGCTGAAATTTCCAGGGATTGTAGTCCTCTACTTGGATAGGAATCGCTGGAAATTTCAGCTTTGTATCTTTAATAGAAAAAAAGTTAGGACCTTTCAAAGTTTTCAAAATCTAAATCATAGGGTAGCTACCCCAGTACTAAACCGATGAAATTTATTTTATTTTTTTCGTTGAGATTTTGTGTCCTAATGGTCCTGTGGGATCCCCCAAACTCCATACACCAAATTATTTTGAGATTTGAAGCCGGAATCTATGAAAAAAGGCACTCAGAAAAATTGAAAAATTTATGACTCGTCCCAAATTGATTAACAGGATTCAATTTCTGTAGCTCAAAGTCCAAATGAGCTGAAACTTTCAAGGATTGTAGTCCTCTCCTGGGATAAGAATATGCCAGTAGCTGAACAACAGGAAGTAGAAAACCAAATTGATAAAATGCTTCAACAGGGAATTATTGAAGAGTCAAATGGTCCATGGTCTGCGCCAGTAGTATTGGTTACGAAGAAAGATGGAAGTCTTAGATTTTGTGTGGACTACCGAAAGCTCAATGACGTCACCAAGAAGGACAGCTCCCCTCTTCCAAGAATAGACGATACATGAACAACTCTATCGGGCTCCAAATGGTTTTCCACCCTAAATCTCAAAAGTGGATAGTGGCAAGTGGCAATACACAAAGATGACTAAGAGAAAACTGCCTTCAGTACCGGAAGCGGGTTATACCAGTTTAACGTTATGCCTTTTGGATTGTTTAATGCTCCAGCTACGTTTGAGCGACTGTCGCATCTTGTTTTGCTACCTCAGTACTAAAACGATGAAATTCCATTTTTTTTTTGTTGAGATTTTGTGTCCTAATGATCCTTTGGGATCCCTTAAATCACCCCAAATTGCTTAGCCCAATTTTTTTTTCTGGAACTATAAGGCCAAATGAGCTAGAACTTTCAGGGATTGTAGTCCTCTACTGGGAAAAACATAACAAGCAGACAACAAGGATAGAAACAATATGTCAAGATCTAAGATCTTATACAGAAAAAAATCGTAGTATTTGGAAAACCAAAAACAAATAAAAAATAAAAGTTGATTCAAAAGGTAAAAGATATTCCAAGATGTGTGAAGATTGGGAATCGAAAGATTTTGAGAATATTAAGTTCTTCTTAGATACATTGAAGAATGGAAGACTGAAATGATACAAGAAATTGGCAAAGAGAGGAGTTGGAGAAGTTATGGATGCTGAAAAATTAAAGAAAGTTACTGGAAAATAAAAGGCAGTGGAGGGCATTGAGAATGTATAAGATCAAAGACCAAGAAGGAACTAGAAACATTTTACATAGCAATATTCTCAGAAGTGTAGAAATCAAAAAAACAGGGCGCCTCTGGAATTAATGGATTAATGAAGGTTCCACACCAATTCACGTAGGTATTATTAACGGAAATTCGATTTCGAGTCTTTGAGGATGATTCCCTGCAACTTTGAAACATTGTTCATCCAAACAAACTATCAAACAACATAAGTCCGGATAATTGGTAAACCTGAATAATCAACATTTTGGGTTCGAGTATTTTCTTTTTCCCAAGATTCTGTCTAATTGAAGATAAAAGAAGAGCAAACGCATGGGGCCTAATCTGAATCCATGTCTGTGTAAAGATAAATCAAATTCAAAACGGGCCTGTTCGAAAATAATTACACGTCTTGTTGCAGGCTTCGCCGCGTTCATCACGTCGAGCACCATCCGAATCTAATATCGTTAATTGGATAAACGAAAAACCTTTGGGGAATCGGCCGAATTTTAAAAAGATTCTTCTTTATAGGGCAATATTAATGTTGTTCAGTTCTCAGACCCTCAAGTATCAAAAGGATTAGAACTAGAGCTGAAAATGAAGTCACTTTTTGATAATGTAATATAAAATTTATAATTCATGGGTCAAAACCATTAACTACATATCAAAAGTTTATCTTTAAGATCGTGTGAAACAAATTAGTAGATGTTTTAATTAAAAATTTCAATTAATTTTAATTTGTTTAAAAAAAAAATGTACCTATATTATAGCATTAATTTTTTTTTTTTAATTTCAGAAAGAAAACGAGGTCGACAAACTTACACGAGGTACCAAACGTTAGAATTAGAAAAGGAGTTCCACTTCAACCGATACCTGACGAGGCGGAGAAGGATAGAAATAGCGCACGCGCTGTGCCTGACGGAGAGACAAATTAAAATTTGGTTCCAAAATAGGCGCATGAAGTGGAAAAAAGAGAACAAAACCAAAGGAGAAGGCGGTTCCGAGGGTGGCGGAGACGATATTAGTCCGCAAGGTTCGCCTCAGTAAAAGGGCGGACACTTTGAACCTCCAAAGGAGAGGTGATCTCCCAGTGAACCGAACAGAGTACCTAATAAACCCACGTAGTCATTGCATTTTTTTTTATGTTTGTTTTAGGGGTTGACGTGATGGACCTCTGAAAAAAAAAAATGTTATCTAATGTTTCGGCGTTTGGGGACTGGATTTACAAATCAAATTCTGAAATATTAGTATGTATGCCTACATAAAAACTTGCAATATAATGTTATTGTTTTTTTGTTTTTGCTGGAGATAGAATAATTTTTCAATCCACCATAGACATCCCTCTAAATAAAAAAAGTGTCAAGGCATTTGATCACAACTCGAAATGGTTAGTCACAATGACATATTAAGGGCGGGTATTATAAAACTGCTTTGACAGTTAACTTGAAGTTAACTTTTTGAATTACATGTAATTCCAGAAGTTAACTTTAAGTTAACTCTCAAAGTAGTTTTATAATACCCGCCCTAAGACAGATAGACTTTAAAGTAAACATAATTTGACGTTGCAACATTATTTACGAGAGCGATCCACCTCTGGTGTATCTCCTCCAATTAGATTGGCATGTTAACGCGTCCATCGATGATGATATGATTTAGAAGCAGATAGATAGATGAATCACTTGCACCATTTTGGTCAAGTGAATGACGCGTTCATAGGGGTAGGCGAGTCTTGTTTACACCTCTGACGCATCCCCACCATGATCCTTACCTTTTCTGGCCCATGGGAGAGTCTTGTCCTCACAACAAACATCAGTTTATAAATAAGATGCGATATCTTTTTGAATGTGACACTTGCAAAGCAAAATTTAAACGAAAAGGCGATTTGAAGAGTCACAAACTGACACACTCGAATATTTATCCTTTTGAGTGTAACACTTGCAAAGCAAAATCTAAACGGAGACTCGACCAAGTGAAGCACTCGGATATTTTTCCTTTTGAATGTAACACTTGCAAAGCAAAATTTAAACGAAGAGATAAATAAGATGCGGTATCTACCTGTGTTAAGATATCATTAGTTAGTCACCTTCTTTATCAGGAAATTTATTAAATCTCTTCTACACTCAAACAAATATTTCTACTAAATGAACTTCTAAAAATATCAATAGTTTTTTTTACCATTTTCTCATTTCTGAATTCTAAGTTCATCTTTCCAGTGTATTTGTTGACTAGCCGGATCTTAGACCCTGACACTTTTCAGCCCTCGATGTTGGGCAAAAAACACAAGTAATATTTTGACATGCTCTATACCCACCAAAGACAACTAATGTATTTTTGTTATTTTATTTGTACATCCAGTCCCTTTGAAATTTACTTTACAACCGTAATGACCTCCTTTTCTGTGTATATTTTTAGTTCCAAGTTGAAAAAAAGAAAATGCGTTTTTACATAGTTTTTATTTATTATTTATATATTGTAGATAATATAGATTTTTTATATTATTATATAGATAGGTTTTTAATTTTTCCCTCTGATGTGCGATTTTTTTTTATAATTTTTATTTAATTTTAAGTTTTTCTGTGTTGATGAAATAAAACAACATTATTTTTTTTTTTGTAAAAATAAAATATTCATATTATAATTTTATCATCGGTATAATGATAAAATAATCTTATTTGTTCCTTGCTGTGATTAATAATAATTAATAATCTGTAAAATAGTGACAAATATAGTTAAATAATTATTTTGTTTATTTTATCAACACTTTGTTATTAAATATTTTAAAACATTCACAAATCAAATCTGAAAACTAAAAAATTTTGAGGCCAGTGAAATGTGCAATTTATGTAAAATGGCGCAACAACAAGTCAAAATTGTTTTAAACAATTAACTATTTTAATTTTTTTTTTTTTGATTGTAGATGGTAATATGGGGGTGGTAAAAAGTCACGAAAGGATTTCAAAAAATAGTGACAAGCATTCATTTAACATAAATAACATGTGCATGTCGCTAGTCCACAATATGTCGTAGATAATATTGAAAAATTTAGAAGGGCATTTTTGTTTTTTTTTTTGAAAACAAAAATGTACGACAGTAAAGTAGAAACTATTTGTTTGTTTTTTTTTTATATAAAAAAAAAGTTGTAGATATTTTTTCTTTTATATTTAAAAAAGTATGTTCAAAACTTGTAAATATTTATCCGCATGTGGAAAGGATATATGAAATATACGATATTGAAATTACGCACTCTCATGCCAAAGTTAGTGTAATATAATAATAAAGTTGAATAAATTATTTAGCAAGGATAATTTAGTCATATAAATAAAACGAATTTTGATTGGTTGAAACTAGTGTACAACCAACCAAAGTTGTTGAAATATTTGTTGGAACAAACCTCTAATGAAAATGACAATATATGCCCTCTTTATTTAAAAGAGCAAAATTTTAATATTAATATTTGTTTGATAGGGCATCGAAACCCTAAATTATCAATGCTAAAAATTTACTTTCAATATTTCCTTGTAAAAAAAATATCCATATAGAATTAATAATTATATTGTTGATATAAATACTCGAAATACGTAAGTAATCCTGTGACATTTTTACCTTATCTTATATTTATTGTGTCCATTTTTTCGTACTTATTTTTAAAATTATATTTTTTGAAAAAAAAAATTCTCAATGGAAAACAACATATAGTCCGGGCAGCGGCAAGGATTTCACCTATGGTTACTCTTTGAATGTATTACTATAGGATATGGTAATGCTCCATAAGTGTTATATAATTTAATATTTTTTGTAAACAATACCATGTGCTTGCAATATTTCAACTTCAACAAACGTATTTAGTGAATGAAATGAAGTGAAAAGTATCATGTTTCGATTTATCTGCAGCTTTTTGCATTTGCTTAACTCTCTTATTTATTCGCTTATAGTTTCGGAATTGGTTCTGAATTGGACTGATTCAGATCAATGAGAGCTTATTCTTCCTCTTCCTGTAACTTTCTAACAAATTCTTCATTCTCACCATTCACATGCTGAAACTCTTCGGGGTACTGTAAATTTGTATCGGCAAAATTATCTTCCAGTTGTTTTTATTTCAAAAGATGTCGCTTCAACAAGATCAAACTCTTCAATTTTCATATTTCTCGGAAATCACAGTATTGTTTCAGATGATGTTTGAAGCAACTCTGCAACATCATTATGATTGTAAGCTTTCGATGTATCTTCTCAAACCTTGCGATTCTTCAGAAGATGAACTATTTCATTCTCGCTATCAACAGTAAAAGTTTTAGGCTCTTGTTCATCATCAGTAGGTAACACATGAATCACATAATAGATAAAATTACATTTACTGTACCAATATTCGATTTTTGTTACACTTTACTTGAAACATATTAATTTGTGTACATTGACTTAGCAAACATTCAAATTTTTAAAAGAAGTTGGAAAGCATATATATCTGGTCAAACGTTTAGTTTTCATTGCACTTGGTGGCGGACTGGTTCACAGAAGCTAAATAGGATATTTCTGGAAATGTTTATCCATTTGTTAGGCCTTTTTTAAGATAGGACACTTCATAATCATACTTTGCTGCGTCCTTCCCTTTTAATATCTTTGCCACGTTATATTCTATTAACAAACAACTGCGCCGTAGGCGGCAGTATGGCTGGTGACGTTTGTCATCTATCTTAGATGATTTATTACACGGTTGCCAAATCTCAAATATGTTCTAAAGTTAGGGTTGCCAACCGTCCTGTATTAGGAAGGACGTCCTGGATTTCGAGCGATTTTAATAGATTTGTCTTTCGTCCTTCCGAGCCCTTAAGAAGGACGCATTTTGTCTTGGATTTTAGTCAGTTGCTCAAACAATATAGAATAAAATATGTTTTTACTATTTATAATGACATCCGACAACATTGCACTGTTGCGCACTGTCATTTGCGAACAACACAGTTAGTAGAAATTAAGGTTTAAAGCTTACTTTTCATGAAAAGTAAGCTTAATTTTTTGGTTTTTGAAATGCTTATTTCATTTTTTTAGTCAGTAATATTTTTTAAAAAAGGAGGCATAATTTACATTGAAAATAGGCCCCCGTAAATTTCAACCAAATTTCAATATTTTAAGTGCCGGTACTTTTGCTCTCATTTAACAGCCGTTAAAAATAATCAGGGCTTAGAATGTGCTCTAACCACATCATACCTATAGACCTTGGCCCATGCAAAACTTTGACAACGTATCAAATTCGTTAATCGAGAGCAAAAGTATCGGCCCTAAAAGTATCATCATTGCAAGAAAAAAATTGAAATGTAAAGAGGATCGTATGTCTGTGTAGCAGATGAATGTGACACATGCAGAGTAAAATTTAAACGAAAAGGCGATTTGAAGAGTCACTAACTAAAACACTTGGATATTAGTTATCTTTTTGAATGTGACACTTGCAAAGCAAAATTTAAGCGAAAAGGCGATTTGAAAAGTCACAAACTGACACACTCGGATATTTATCCTTTTGAGTGTAACACTTGCAAAGCAAAATTTAAACGGAGACTCGACTGGAAGACTCACTAAGTAAAGCACTCGGATATTTTTCCTTTCGAATGTAACACTTACAAAGCAAAATTTAAACGAAGAGATGTTTTGAAGAATCATAAACTTACACATTCTGATATTTTTCCTTTTGAATGTGACACTTGCAAAGCAAAATTTAAACAAAAATACCTTTTGGAGAGTCACCAATTAATACACTCGGATATTTATCTTTTTGAATGTGACACTTGTAAAGTAAAATTTAAACGAAAAGGCGATTTGAAGAATCACAAACTAACACATTCGGATATTCATTAATTTGAATGTGACACTTGTAAAACAAAATTTAAACGAAAAAAAAATTTGAAAAGTCATCAACTAATACACTCGGGTATTTGTCTTTCTCAATGTGCCACTTGTGGAGCAAAATTTAAACGAAAAAGCAATTTGAAGACACACATATTGAGGCATTTGAATGAGGAAAATTGAAAATGCAACATGCAACGCAGAAGTTAATACCAGTGGTAATTTGAATTTAAAACAACATTCAGTTAAATAAGTATAAGTTTGAATTTAATGCTTCCTCTGTAAAATTTAAACGTGAAACAATTTTCAATGTCCATTTAGCATCCACAATAGGTTAATTAACAAGTGTTTTAATTTATTATATACATAGATTCTTAAAAAGTGACTTGTAATAGTTATTAATGACTCTAGCTCATCTTTTCCAATTTTTGAATTTCGTTTGCAGAAACTAATTTTTTTTCAAAGAAGTTGTTGGTATATTTCGAGATATTCAAGAAAATCTACGTAGACATATTTCCTCGGATATTTCCTATGCATAGCATAGCAGGACCTACGTACTTCGATGAGCTATATCTGCTATCACAGACATACGATCCTCTTTACATTTCAAATTTTTTCTTGCAATGATGATACCTTTTAAAATATTGGAATTACACCTTTGTCCTGGATTTCAAAAATTAATAGTTGGCAACCCTATCTAAGAAAAATGTAACGTCCCACTGTGAAAGCCGTCCCAGTTCTAGTTTCAACATTTTCTTGTCAGATGGAAGGGTTCTCATATTATATGTCGCAATATGCAGTTTTAGACTTCCATGGTAGCCTAATGTTTCCCGGGGATTCTTAGCATCCTCCACCTTGGTCGGAGACTTGCGATCAGCCAGGGACTGAGGGCCATTTATGATTTCTACTTTCCATCTTGGTTTAGGTTTGAGGGTTTTAGCCTTTCCTAACGCACTGCTCAGTGTAGTAGGAGATATACTGGGAATTTAATTTCCTTAACTTCTCCTTGGTACGGTTATCTGGCCGATATTCGCTCGCCAGAGCCTCGTCTGTTATCTAGCAGGGTGTACCGGATAGTTGGGTACCAACCACCGCTCGTGCAGGTGAGGTTGACATTTGGACTAAACTCTCTTAACATTGAAAATGCATTTTTCCTTATTGAGTTTCAATCCAGAATTTTCCAATGTTTCCATTACTTTTTTAGTAATTTTTTCTACACCTTCCTGGGAGTCGGAATAAATAAGAATATCGTCCATTGAGCAGTGAGTGTTTGGAATGTTTTTTAACAAGGAACTCATTATTTCTTGAAATACCTCTGGTGCTGAACAAATTCCAAATGGTAGACGAGTGCAACTATAACGCGCCCATGGTGATGAAAACGTAAGATATTTTTGAGACTGCTCTGCAACTTTTATTTGCCAAAACCCTCGTTTGCAATCCTAAAGTGTAAAATATTTTTGGCTCCACGTATTTGTGCTGAAATTTTTTTTATGGTTTCAGGATAATATCTTCTTGAAATGTTTTCGTTAATATCTGTAGGATCTATGCAGGTTCCTAATTTACCTTTCTGCCTAACAGTTACCTACTAATGCTGCAGGAGTGGAATCTGTGACACCTAACTTAATTATATTTTCCAATTCTTTTTCCACTTCATCCCGTATGTCAAATGGTATTTTTCTTGCAGGCCCTATTTCGAACTTTGGATTTTCTATAAAATCAATATTGTATTTATAATTTTTAAAATAACCCAATCCTTGAGAAGTGCTATCATTGAACTTTTTTGCCCTGTGTACCGGATAGTTGGGTACCAACCACCGCTCGTGCAGGTGAGGTTGACATTTGGACTGGTTGGTGGACTTTTATTAGTACCTCTAAAATTACCACCCAAACTCTGTAACACTCAGTTTGTCCTCCTTGTCACAATCTTCTTCAAATTCCATCCTTCACTTCGCATGATTCGCATTACTCGATTTGCCTTCTTTGTTTAAAATTCTACCAGCATCAAAATTCTGGTTCTGCCTTATAATAGATTAATACATTAACTCGATGACTTCAGGAAAATTATTGCCGCTGCTCGTTCTGCCAACAAATTAACCGAAAATACGTAAAACGATGTTACAAAAACAAGGTATACGCGCATTATAAAGACATATTATACAAATATCGAATATAATTTATTTGAAAAATAATGTACAAATGCGGACAAAATTTTAATAAAGTATTTTGTATATAAAAAAAAGCACTTTAGAAGATAAGTTTTTTTTTTGTTAACAAATTGTTTATGGAATTACTAAAGTGCAAGTCTACATCAGAAAAAACTATTGTACTGTTAAAAATTGTGAGAACATGAAAATGTGCTGTATAATTTGTACCTATTTTTGGATAAATCATAGAGGTTGGTTTAGGAATAATGAAAAATATCATTTTAGATCAATCAAATCATTTGAATGACATTTTTCATAATTCCTTCCGTAACATTTGAACTAGAAAATAATATAATAGTTATTTGTGCTGTGGTGTAATATTTTTAGAACTACAATTAGTTATATACGTTTTACGTTTATAAAATTTCGGAAAAAAATATTATTTTGTAAAAAACGTACGTTATTTGTACTATAAATTTATAATTTTTAATCTCATTTTAAAAAATTTATATTTTGAGTCTAAACAAAAAAATACTTTTTAATACTTCTTGGATTTTGTCTTGTGGATTTCACCTTATATACATAAATTAATATATGTATAAAATAAAATAATATTGTAAATCTAGCTTATTGGTGGTTTTTGTTATAACAATTTTACCTGAATAGTGTGTCTAAACAAAACCTCAGTCTCCAGTCTGTAATTACTCTAAAAGAAAATATGTAAATTTCTAGACTGGAGCCTCGAAAACTTCAAGATGGCCCCAGCTTTAGGATTATTATTGGTTCAGTATGTCGGAATGCGCTCCGCCTCTGACATAGGTTTGACATGATGATGAATTACTTTTTCTTGTTGGGTCTGTTACAAAAACATATTAGGTTTAATCTAAGAACCAATAAGAACAATCTTATAATTAAAATATATTTCAATACTAATTATCAATTATTACTGTTTTGTTTCAGAGATTCAGGAAATATACTGTAAATTCTCAACAATTGACTCCCAACCGCCAAAACCCGACAAGAAAGCACCTTGTAAACACACCATTTAATGGCGCAAAATACAACACTGGTATATAGATATCTTTATATCATCATCATCATCATCTGAAGCTCCTTTTTCCATTGTGATTCTTTGATGCTCGGCTGTCTCTTTTCTGCTTGTAGCGTTTTGTGATGGCAAAAGACAAGGAAGCAACGTTTGGCGTGTGCCCGGGGTGATTTACGACAAGATTACGTTTAAGAGACCACGTGTTATTGCCCATAACTTTTACTTCAAGTGGTTTTAGCTGTTGGTATAAAAGAAAACTTAATATGATTTGGACCTGTTTATGTTTATTTCAGTGTGTCTAATCTGTTAGATAATAATTTCACTCTAATGCCATTAGGTTTGTTCGGACTTAATTCAGAATCAGTTCTGAATTGAACTAGTTCTGAATTGAACTGCGCTTGCATATTTGTTAATTTATGTTCAGTATGAACAAATGTGCAAGCGCAGCTCAATTAAGCACTGATTCTGAACTAAGTCCGAACAAACCTATTACCCAACATTTCTTCTTTTTGTTTAACTGTTAACTTTACAGCTAACTTTGTTCAACAATGTCCGAGTTTACTGCTTTAGAAGAAACCTTTTCCACAGTTTCTTTTGAAGCTATTACCAGCTTTATTGAACTTGTAACAGTTGGCTGGTAATAATCAACTAAGTATTAGGAACCGGCTCATGATTGTCTTTCAAAAATAATGTCCGCCGAATCAGGAGCCGGTCAATGATTGAAATTTCGACTTATGTTCGGCTCTAAATTGCCTCTACATAGAAAAAATTATCAAGCCGATGAAAATCAGACTTTTTGATTACTTCGGTCAGTTTCAGAAAAGTTATCTTACGAATCAAGCTAAAAAAATCGAAAGTCTTACCAGCTCTTGATTGCTTTCATCTCACGAATCAAAACTTATGGAAAAGTGATTCCGGTCAAATCCAATAAAATTTTAGTATGATATAGTTCATGACCTCCTGATCAAATTTCATTATTGCCACAAAAAAAATCGTTCGAGCCGTTTTCGAGTTATAGCCTTTTCAAGGTGGCGGGTTGCAGATCATGGTGAAATTATAAACTATGGATTTTCATATTTAAGTTATATTATTTTTTATTGGGAGCTTGATAATTATAAGGGATACGTAACGAAGATGGTTAATTGGGGCAAAGTGGTGCATTTAATGTCTGGTCAACAAGGTACTTTCTTCCGAGTTTGATGGCCGTCGTAGATCGGAATTACCAATGAATTCAATTTAATCAATCAATTTCCAATTTCATATCGCAAATTGAAAGAAATTATATTTTACGACGGCTATTGAGCCCCAACAAAACTTAGGATTTACTGGCCGCGAAAGCCTCAATAATTTTATTCAACAATATGCTATTATAACATTCTGAGAAGCTCTGGAAATACCTGGAGAGACCCGGAATTTTCAAAAATCTATATTATTTTTTCTTAGAATTACTTTGGAAGAAATGGTATGGCCACTTCTTTGCCTTAAAAAAAAAAAGTACATGATTGTGCTCTCAGATATGCCATCCGACGTTTCGTCTTTAGGCAACCACCTTAACTTTTCTTTTTCTTATCGGTGGCATATAAATAATAAATACATATTTTTATTACTTATTAGGGTTTTGAGTAGCACATTTAGTTACCTTTTTGATGTTTTATCACATTTGCGTTTTTAACAGGAATTTCAGGTAGCTATAATATTCTTCTAGGAGTACCAGGAGTACTTGTTTGAAATGCAAGTGTGCAATTTAATTTAAAATTGAAAAATTGAGAATCTTTGTATCTCTCATATAGTTATAATGAACCCAATGGCGGGGATCGAGTTTGCAAATCACAAACTAACATGTTTATAACATAAATTATATTCGAGTCAAATATTTTTAACAGATCCTATAATATTTTCTGGTTCTTATTGTTAAGTTTTATTATGCTTGAATCAGTTTAAAATAAAAATACATTTACTTATAACTTTCATATACAAACTTGTTCAAACCTGCTGATCTTTATTGAAAAATTGAGAGTTTTTCCACTCGTTTTCAAATATGCTCTAGATGGCTTGACTTAAAAAAAAGAATGCAATTTGGTAGGCATATACCAATGATAATATCATCCAAATATTTTAAAATGTATGGTTTCAGTTCTGCATCAAAAAGATTATCTACTAAACCTTGGAAAGTTGCAGGAGCATTATGAAGACCAAATGTCATCCTGACGAACTGAAAAAGACCCTTGGATGGCACAGTGGAAACTGTATATTGACGAGAAGAAGGTTCAAGTTCAATTTGCCAATAAGCACTTTGAATATCTAACGAAAAGAAATATTTGGCACTTCCCAGCTTACCTAATATATCAGAAATGTATGGTATTGGGTACGCATCACGTTCACTAACACGGCTAGTCTTGCGAAAATCAACACAAAATCTCCAAGTTTTGTCTTTTTCAGGTATACTACCAATACTGGTGAAGAACAAGCATTTGTGGACTTCTCAACAACTCCCAATTCAATCATTTCTAACCATCTTCGTTACGTACCTATCTCTTACAGTTTTCAAGCTCCCAATAAAAAATATAACTTAAATATGAAAATCCATAGTCTATAATTTCACCTTGATCCGCAACCCGCCACGTTAAAAAGGCTATAACTCGAAAACGGCTCGAACGATTTTTTTGTGGCAATGATGAAATTTGATCAGGAGGTCATGAACTATATCATACTAAAATTTTACCGGAACCACTTTTTCATGAGTTTTGTGCGGGGTTCTTTGGATTATTCTCGGCTCTTGATTGCCTTAAGAAATATTATCCAACGAATCAAGAGCCAAAAAGAATCAAATTTTGGCTCTACTGCCTATATAAAAAAAAAATCCTAAAATCAAGAGTCTGCTGATCTTTATTAAAAAATTGCGACTTTTTCCACTCGTTTTTAAATATGCTCTAGATGGCTTGACTTGAAAAAAAGAATGCAATTTGGTAGGCGTACTAATGATAATATCATCCAAATATTTTTAAATGTACGGTTCCAGTTCTGCATCAAAAAGATTATCTACTAAACTTTGGAAAGTTGCAGGAGCAATATGAAGACCAAATGGCATCCTGACGAACTCAAAAAGACCCTGGGACGGCACAGTGAAAACTGTAAATTGGCGAGAAGTTCAATCTGCCAAATTTTGGAGACCTATCGGCTCTATTGTCTGTAAAAAAATATCCTAAAATCAAAAGTCGGCACATAATAATCAAAATTGTCTCTTTATTTTGATCTCTCGATTGTCTTTAGAGAAAATCATAGCGTAAAATGATCAAAATTTGGACCATTATCGGCATTATCAACCTCTGAACGCCTTTAGAAATTAGAAAATATTATCAAGAGCCGAGAATTATCAAAATTTGGACAATTAAGTATTCTCTCAATATTTTGCTAAAGAAACATCTCACATATCAAAAGCCGGTAATAATCGAAATTTCGACTAAATTAAGTAGGTAATACCTGCACTTGGATTGCCTTTAAAATGTTTTCCAACAAATCAAGAGCCAAAAATCAGGGCCGGCTCCAGACATTTCGGCGCCCCGTGCAAGAGGTATTTTTGCCGCCCTTCTGCCCCTTCTTACCGATTACTCTCCTACTTTGTAGTTCCAGTTCTATCCTTGGTACTACCTATTTGCTAAACGTAGGTACTTACTTTTGATTTTAATTTCGTCCAGTACGGAAAGTTACCAAACCTCCACTACCCAGTTACAAACCGCAGTCAACCGCGGTATAGCATTTGACAGACCAAAACGCCTACCAAAGTTGTTGTGACGGCATCATTCTCCCATCCGAAATTGATTGGTACCTGTTTGATAGACCAAACTGAGGCGAAATCGCCTTAAGCTAGCGATAGGTGTTTTCGGGTTCTCGTTTTTCGAACTCTGTTCGCGAACCATCATGGAAATGCGCAGAATTAGTTGCGTACTTACTCAGTCCTTAGAACTGTGCTCCCGCCCCGTGCAGGGGCATAGGCTGCACGGGTCCTGCAGCCGGCCCTGCCAAAAATAACCCAAAGGTTGGACTATTATTGACTCTATATTGATTCTAGAAAACATATCTTACAAATCATGAGAACGTGAAAATCAAAAATTGTATTATCAGCTCTTGATTGTTGGATTGCTCTCCAGGCATATCATTATCCTACAAATCAGGAGCCAAAAATAATCAAAATTCGTACAGTTTTTGGCTCTTGACTTCCGTTCGGCAAAATTATGCATCTTTTAGAGCCAGTATACAGGGTGTTCCCGTTCAACTAGTCAAAAATGCTAAAGTATATAGAGGAACCATCACCTCCTATAATTTTTTCATTCCTAAAATTTTCATGAAAATCTGTATTAAAAGCGTTTTTAATACAGAGGGAAAAATTCGATCTTTTTTGTAAAATTTCAACACCCTGTATTTTAGAAACGACGCACCTACGACCATCAGTTTCTCATCTCAAACTACTTCTCTATGGTACCTCTACCTATATATCCTAGCATTTTTTACCATTCGAACGGGCACA